AACGCTTTTTATTCCCAGTTTGTCGACACTTAATTTCCCAGTACCACTTTGTTTAAACCAGCACATTAACACTCTGACCTCGTCACATATTGACGTTTTGGTCATGGACTTTCCACGTCTACATACGACAGGCAAGGTACCCTGGGTGCGTTGGTTACTGACGTTCTGGGACACCGTGTCAACTTTCGTCCTTGTCCCACCTCGTTTCCCCCTGATGCCAACGGGCACCATTAAACAAAAACAGCAACTGGCCACATATCATGTCTACATTAAAGGACACCTTTTTTTTGTTGGTGTCTGACACCGCAAGTCACTGCCCAAGCGCGGGATCTCGATGACTTCAGAGTGAGACCAGGCTCTTTGAACCATTCCGACAGCATCCAGTCAAGAAACAGGAGAGAACCATGATGAACTTAAGTTATGTTACTGAGGACCAGTTGAATTGACGACCAAAGATAATCTTATTTGTGTACAAAAACTACAGATGGTAAACAAAAAATGAATCCCAGTGTGCAAAATGTGTAGGTCAAAAGCTACAGATGGAGACGCGAAAACTTCCAGCAAACTTTTTTAAACAAATAAAGACAAATTTTATTAAGTATTTATGATTTTTGTAAATTTGATATATTATCACTCTCTTGTGAAAATGGCATTACTGTACGTTTGGTAAGGAGCACCTTATGTTGTTGAGGACTTGGGACCTAACTCAGGACTTGTCAGTCTTGACTTGGGACTTGAATGGAAAGACTTGAGACTTACTTCGGATTTGTAAAACAATGGCCTCTGATTCAGATCATTCACTTAAGATATCAGAAATCAGAAATACTTTATTGATCTCAGAGGGGAAATTGTGATTCGTTACAGTTGCTCCAATGAAGAATAAAGAATTATAGAAGTATGAAAAAGACTTTGACATCGAAGTATGTCAATGTAAGTTATAAAATACAATAAAATAGAAATAAAAATGTGCATTATGCTACAATGTAAACACTACTACTTAAAATGTTAAGAATAAAATATATCTCTTCATCGCGCTGAGTCTTAAGTGTGTAAATATATTCAAACATGTGCATTGTGCTACATTACACTGATCTGATGATTTAATACCTTGCAGTAAGTTCCTCAGTCAATGTTTGATTTGACCTTTTTTCAGCCCAGGACAAACATGTGACTACCAAGAACAAGTAGATACAAAATACATGTTGAAAAGTAATTAATTAAATCATATTATTCACAGGAAGTATAAAAATATGTAGAGTTTTTCCTCCTGTGACATGTCAACATGTCTTCAGTGATTAAGGCCTTTGAGACATTAGGGTCTCGGTAGAAGCTGCGGTGCTGCAGCACTTTGTCACCATCTTGTGGCCGATGCTGCACACTGCTCCCTGTTATTTTATTCATTATTTAATCAGCTTTGACTGTATTAATTCTAATAGTGTCCATTCGGAAGGTGAGAAAAACATAACATGAAAATGTTGAATAAATTGAAGATAATATTTTCAAAGATTATTTAAAATTAGTGTTATATTCATACACATGGGCTTCCTGTTCATTTTTGAATTCATTCTAAAATTTTGCTTTTAGTTTTTAAATCTTTAAATGCAGTGGCTCCTGACTATTTAAATGCTGTACTGGTCAGATACATGTTTTATCTCTAGACAATCTGAATCTGAATCTGTAAAATAAAACACAGATGTAACAATGAGCAGCAGGTCCAGAAAAAAAGATATATATAAAAAAATAATAATATAAATAATAAAATAAATAAATAAATAATAAGTAATAAATAAACTGAAAATAAAGATGACAAGGTGAGAGAGAAGAAGGTGAGCTTTGCAGGATTTTTTGGGGGTTAGAATTACTATTTTTTTTCTGTTTATACACACTCCCACAAACACAAACATATACACTCACCAGCCACTTTATTAGGTACACCTTGATAGTACCAGGTTGGACCCCTTTTGTCTTCAGACCTGCCTTAAATCTCAGTGTCATAGATTCAACAAGGTGCTGGAAACATTCCTCAGAGAGTTTGGTCCATATTGACATGATGACATCACACAGTTGATGCAGATTTGTCGGCTGCACATGAAGCGAATCTCCCGTTCCACCACATCCCAAAGGTGCTCTACTGGTTTGAGATCTGGTGACTGTGGAGGCCATTGGAGTACAGTGAACTCATTGTCATGTTTGAGATGATGTGAGCTTTGTGACATGGTGCGTTATCCTGCTGGAAGTAGCCATCAGAAGATGGGTACACTGTGGTCATAAAGGGATGGACACGGTCAGCAACAATACTCAGGTAGGCTGTGGTGTTTAAACCATGCTCAGTTGGTACTAAGAAAATCTCCCCCACACCATTACACCACCAGCAGCAGCCTGAACCGTTGATACAAGGCAGGATGGATCCATGACACCAAATTCTGACCCTACCATCTGAATGTGGCAGCAGAAATCCAGACTCATCAGACCAGGCAACGTTTTTCCAATCTTCTATTGTCCAGTTTTGGTGAGCCTGTGTGAACTGTAGCCTCAGTTTCCTGTTGTTAGCTGACAGGAGTGGCACCTGGTGTGGTCTTCTGCTGCTGTAGCCCATCTGCTTCAAAGTTCAATGTGTTGTTGGTTCAAAGATGGTCTTCTGCATACTCGCATTTCATAAAATAATATACTTATGATATATGTTAATAATCTGTCACTTCATTCTCTGTTTCAGATATCTACTCCTACAGTATTTTTGTTGTTCTTCATCTATCAAATGCCAAGTCTGATGTTATACATTAATGTCACATACAGTTTATACTCAGTGTTACCCTTCATTCCTCTGCCCGTCAAAATAACAGCATATAATAAATAATGATAGATCAAAATAATGAAAGTAAATGTGCTCTTTGTTTCCTCAGGACTTGCTTCATTTAGTGTGCCAGGCATCCTGCTGCATTCCTGTCTGTGCTGAATGCGTAGCCTGGGGCCTTGGGATCAAGCTGGGACATGCAAGTGTTCCCAGTAAAACATCACAAGTGCCTCAACTTTAGCTGCTCTCCGCTGCTTATCACATGCAAGCACACTGTTTTTAACTGCAGGAACAGGCTTGCTATGAACAATCTCTGCAAAGAGACTTTCAACAAGGTCCACCACAACACCAACACTTTACTTTCTTCAGTGCCAGTGGAAATCATTATAGAGAGAAAGCTTCTTAAAATTATCACATAGAATCTCAAAATAATGACTTAGTATCGTAAAATAATGAGAACATTTTAGCAAAAGAATGATTCACTATCCTAAAATAATGGATTGGTATCTCAAAAAATGTACTTAATATCACAAATTAATGGGAAGCTTTCTCAAAATGATGACTTTGTATCTCAAAATAATGATTTGATATGAAAATAATGAGAGGTTTCTCAAAATAAAGAGTTAATGCATCAAAACTAATGAGTTAGTATCTAAAAATAATAAGAAACTTTATGAAAATAATGGCCTACTTATTTCAAACTAAAGAGTTAATGCCTCAAAAGTAATGAGCTAGTTGGTCAAAATAATGAGCTCGTACCTCAAAATAATGAGGTAGTATGTGAAAATAAGGAGTTAGTACCTCAAAATAATGAGTTAGTACCTCAAAATAATGAGTTAGTATCTCAAAAATAACGACTCAATATGTGAAAATAATGAGTTAGTACCTCAGAATAATAATTCAGTATCTCTAAATAAAGAGTTAGTACCTCAAAATAATAATTCAGTATGTGAAAAGAAGGAGTTAGTACCTCAAAATAATAATTCAGTATCTCTAAATAATGAGTTAGTACCTCAAAATACTGAGTTAGCACCTCAAAATAATGAGTTAGTATCTCAAAAATAACAACTCAATATGTGAAAATAATGAGTTAGTTTCTCAAAATAATAATTCAGTACCTGAAAATAATGAGTTAGTACCTTGAAATAATGAGTTAGTATCTGAAAATAATGAGTTAGTATCTTAAAATAATGACTTAGTACCTCAAAATAACGAGTTAGTTTCTCAAAATAATAAGTTAGTACCTGAAAATACTGAGTTAGTGCCTCACAATAATGAGTTAGTGCTTCAAAATGATTAGTTAGTCTCTCAAAAGTATGACTTAGTAGCTCAAAATAACAACTCAGTATGTGAAAATAATGAGTTAGTATCTTAAAATAATGACTTAGTACCTCAAAATAACAAGTTAGTTTCTCAAAATAACGAGTTAGTACCTGAAAATACTGAGTTAGTGCCTCACAATAATGAGTTAGTGCTTCAAAAATAATGAGTTAGCATCTCAAAATTATGACTTAGTAGCTCAAAATAATGAGCTAGTATCTAAAAAAAAAAAAGACTCAGCATCTGAAAATGAGTAAGTACCTCAAAATAATGAGTTAGTTTCTCAAAATAATGAGTTAGTTTCTCAAAATAATGAGTTAGTTTCTCAAAATAATGGGAAACTTTCTAGAAATAATTAGTTAGTGTTGTCTTGGTATCTCAAAATATTAAATTAATTAAAAACAAAATAATAAGAAACAAAATGAGGTAATTATTTTAAGACAGTATTTTATTATGTTGAGATACAAACTTATTATTTCAAAATACGAAGGCTTTATTTTTAGACAGTAAGTCGATATTTTGAGATGCATTATGTTTATTATTATTTTTTAGATACTAACTGATAATTTTGAGATAAGAAAGTCGTGATATTGAGATACTAACTCATTTTATTTAGATACCAGGTCATAATTTTGAGAAAAGCTACTGTCATTATATTTACAGGAAGTTTTTTTCTTTTACTTTTACTTTGCCTTTGACAGAGGCAGAGATGGCCTTCAGTAGTTTGGGGAGTATTCAGGAGCACAACTGAAAGTAAAGGTGACTGTACTTGTGCAGCTCATTCCTTTGAACTCCTGCCCTGCTCTGAAATGGGCGTGGCCTTACAGTACACACACACACACTCACACAAACACACGTTACACATTACACACATTACACACAGGGGACGGAAACAGCCGTGTGTGTAAACGCACGCTGCGAGGGCTCGCGGCGGTCAACAGAGACTGAGCGGTGTGTGACATGACACAAAGTGGACACAGCAGCGGGTGTGTGAAGGTGTGCGGATGATGCCTGGGGTCACCTCGTGTCTTTAAACCGACAGGTAAGCTTCGAGAAACACCGGACGCACGTCTACGCGTTACGTACACACCCCGCGTGCACTTTTCAAACGCCGACTGAAGTGGGCACGAGACTGAAATGAACAGGCTGAACTTTAATTAGCGTATTTTTGTTAATGCGTCAGAGTTTCAGGTGTTAACAGCGACTTGTAACCTGTAATTTAGCCGCATTAAAAGAAGTATAATAAGAAGGTAACGTAAAACTGCGTCACTCACACTTTAATTGCTAAGTTATATAATATTTAAAAAGGTGTAATGTATTTTTTTAGCACATATAAACTTAATGATACAAATATGTTTTTACTACAGCTTTAAATTACATTTGTAATAAAAGTCTGTGTGACAGTTTCCTCAAAACACCAATTACTAGCCTATAGATAATATGTCAACAAATGCCAGAGCATGCCCAGGTCTGAAACCAGGAAGGGACAGAAACTGGACTTTGTATGAGCTGAGGTGTGTGTGTTGGTGTGCATGCATGGGTGTGCACGCTATGACTCACCCCTGCTGTCTAACCATACTGTGGTGTGCCTAGTGGGTGTAACACATGCACACACCTCTCCCCTCCAATCCTCCTCTCCCGTCCTGTCCTGTGCAGCCATGCCTTCACACTTGGGTTTGTTTTTGTAGAGGAAGCACTATCTCCTAAATTGCTGTCCACACACTTTATGTGTTTGTGTGTGTGTTGCCTCCAGTTGTATCTTCAGCACACACTCCTGCTTCATATGTTCCCATGCCCATGTGGGATGTGGAAGCTGTTTATCTTGTGAAGTTCTCTTTTTGCTCTTTGCTATTGATCTAAACACTCTGTGGGCTTCGACACCGGGCACTAGCTGCGCGTCAAAACTCCTATATCCAAGCCCTTAATAATGTTTGCTGAATGTGTGTGCTTGACGGTTGTTTGTGTGTGTGTGCGCAGCTGTGTGAGTGGGTGTAGAAGCGCTAAAAGGCAGAGATGAGGAGCAGGCCGGGTCAAATGTGCTAGCAAGCTTTGGCGTGTGCCTGCGCTGGATGTTGGCCAATACAGGTCCCTGCAAGTTAACACTGCAATACACAGCTGGGCAGGTCTGGTAGACAGTAGAGGCCCCTATTGTGAGGACTTAATACCAGTCGTGTGGAGCCGGGGACTGTGTGAAGCAGCCGAGGTGTGATGTGTTTGTCTTCTCGCAAGATGAAAAAGTTCTGCTTTAAAAGGCATCAGTGTGAGTGATGTTTGCCTTTGTGTGTGCATACTTTTTTTTGTGCAAAGCTTTCATATCAGTGTTGTGCAAAAATACATGAAAGGGGAAGAGATGCTGTTTTCACCAGGCTTATATATAAAATACCTAAAGGTCAGTTCCTGTTAATGTTTATGCTGTGAACTACTTGCACAGTAAAGCACCCAAGTGTATACACATGCATATGCAACAAGGTTGTGTTTACTTGAAAGCAGAAGTAACGCTTAGTGTCCCCTGTGCACTGTAGGTTTGCAGCGTAAAAGAGAAGTGGACATGGCAAGATGTGTGATGTATCTTCCTGTGTGTGAGTTAGAGAGCAGTTCTGCCACTCGATTCAACGTGGAAGACGAGATGGTGTGAACGCGTCAGAAAGCAGACATACAAAAGCTTGACATTTCCAGGGTTATTACATGTTGCTAGGCGGAGCTGTGATGTAAAGCTCCGATTTTTAAAACTCTGCTTTGTTAAGTGCTGCAAAATCAAGGAGACACAGATGTCAGTTGGCCTTTGTGGGTTATTTGATTCAAATATCAGACCTTAAGGTAAGTCTCTGACCAGAAACCTCACCACACAGTGGAGCCACGCTGTTACGGTGGCGTGTTGTTTCCTCATAGCTATTGCTGTTTCCTGCTGTTTCATCCAGGGGTGTTGCAAATTTAGATTTTGGTTTTGTTGCCGGGTGTGTTTGCGCCACTTGTTGTTGAATGTACAGCACGTGTTGGTGTTTTTAGAGTGAGCTTAAAGGAGTAGACGCTTTGGGAAATGGGTTTCTACACTGAGAGAACATGAGATCAATACTGCTGCCATGTGTGTAAGGTAAATGTAAAGCTACTGCCAGGAGGTTGGCTTGAAGGCTTGAAGGTGAAGCTAACCCGGCTCTGTGTCAAGGTAAAAGACAAATTGGCATCTTGTAAGATCAGCAAGTAATACAGTTTATTTTGTGTGTTTAATCTGTCCAGAAAACTAAATATAAACCTGGCACATTTGTGGTTTTACAGAGGGTTATGTAGAGTGATGTTTTGCTGTGGACCGAAATGGAAGTTAGTATCGCCCTGGTTCCCTCGTCAAAAAGCCAATGGGATTCTTCCGTTGGATTTAGCAGAAATAAGTTCTATGGCAAACAAATGTTTACGATACCAGCAAGTTTCGTTCAGCAAGATAATCTTCCGAAATGAACACCACTTTTACTATATTTAAAGCCTAATTGCAGTCGCCAGAAGTAAAAAGCTAATGTTAGGCGATGAACGAACTCCACCAGAGTTGCATGACTTAACATCGTCCCTATAGCGCCGCTGTAAAGCCATGTTCAACGGCATGAAGTTCTGTAGTCTCATTTGACACTTGCTAGTAACCACCTTTTTTTTAAGACACATAAAAGCTTCACAGTTCACGAGTGAGGTATTTACTGACGTATTTTATGTCGTAGAACAAAGCATGAAAGTCTCTTAAGCTTGTGTTAACCACAGACCAGACATCTAACCAAAATCCCATTAAATAAACCTGTTGACTTTGAGGCGAGGGAGCTTTTTGAAGACACATAGAAGCTTCAAAGTTGACGAGTAGGGCATTTACGGACATTTTTTTACAGCGTAGAACAACACATGAAAGCCTCTTAAAATTGTGTTAACCACACACCTCATTTCAGGCATCTAACCAAAAACACATTGACTTTGAGATGAGGGAAACAGGAAGTGGTAAGATGCTAACTCATTTCTGGGTTTAGGACTGAATGATAATAAAATTCATCACACATAGGCTAAATAATTAATTAGGCTAGCCTAATTAAGCTTGTGAATGTGCCTCCAAGTATATTTTTTAGATTTTAATAATCGCTATTATTAGCACACTGACAATCAAGGTCTAACTCTAAATCTCTTACTGTATATTTCATGTCCACTTTATCCCATTATTCCCACTCCGCCTATGAATTATGATGCATGGACACAGTTATCAGGAACTGTCGACTGTTGTGCTTTCTTACAGTCAGTGAATAGTCAGCAGTAGTAAATCGAAGTTAAATTGTGTTGCTGATGTAACTAGTAAAAACTCGAAGTGCTGATGAGGTCTTGAATTGTAGGCTATGAAAAGTTCTTTCAAAAAGTTCTTAAAAGGTTTGACTTCAGGATTTCTGCATAACCTCCTCTGTCTTGCCTCTTCCAAATTTACCAACTAGTTTATTTTAACAGGCCAAACATTTTGACCATGTCTGTGATCTGGTGTTTTCATCATTAGTATGGTAGCGACCCTAAAAAGGGTACTCAAGAGATTGCGGGCCTGTCCAACTTCCTTCAAATTTCACTCCAAGGCTTTCTGAAAAATTGACAGCTCTGAGACTCAGTAGCCATGTTTCCATCAGCCTGTTTAGATGCGCATCTAGAAGTATCGCATCAGAAAATTATGATGGAAACGCCAAAATTCGAATTAAAATCCCCTGATTCGCACAAACTACAATACGCTCGCTTTAGCCAGGTTTTGGTTGATTGGAAAAAATGTTGATTCGCAAAACAGGGGATGGAAACAGTTATGTTAGAATTAAGTCTGACGTAGCGCACCTCTCTCCATGGTGATATCCACCCTCCGGGTCGGGAAGGCAGTAATGCATTTACAAGCTGGTTGCCAACCGCCAGAAAACGTAGAAGAAGAAGAATGCAAGACTTGTTTTGTTTCCCGTTCTGCGGAAAACTTGCACGAGTTCGTAGTTTTCACCAAAGTCCGTACATTTAATGGAAACACACAGGATGCGTATTTCTTTTAATGTGCATTTCCCAATGATTCGAATCACTTTTGGATGGAAACATAGCTATTGCTGGGGCACTCTATACCAAACCATTTCTTGGCCTGTTGTCAAAAGTTGATGATATTTTTTTGCACTTATTTTTATTTCTAAATATTAAAAGATTCTGTATTTAACCTTCTACATGTATTAACTGTTTTTTTTATTGCCAATGGGTGAAGGGATTGTAACATAACTTAAAAACTGAGACCTTTCCGACTTTGTTAGTTGCCTCTCTACCAACCTGTGGTCTGACTTCCATGTAAAGGACTAGGGCCAACTATTCCAGGAAAATTAAAAGGATATGATGAGCCTTAACCAAGAAAGCCCTTAACTTGCATGTCTTCAGCTCCACTACAGCGCTAGTGACACAATGTGCAACAGTAGCTAACTTAAGCTTTGAAATGGAGTCTGCTAATGTAAACAAACAAATTGCAACCATTACAACACAAAGTCCACACATGCTAAGTTTCCATTAGAGTTATATATTTTGCAGCGGCAGCCCGGAGACAGACCTGTTGAGGTTTGCACAAGCTGAATTTAAGCTGTTAGAGCCGCTAACTGAAAGTCTGTCTCTGGAGCTGTAGTTGGCGTTCCTCCTGTCAAAGTAGCCCAATCTCTGAGCGGCTAAGGAGTGAAACGTAAGGACACTGGGGTGTGCTAGCTAAGTCTTGTCATATATGGTGTGATAAACCTGTTGGGGGTCGTGGAGGGCTGGAGCTTATCCCAGCTGACATTGGGCGAGAGGCAGGGTACACCCTGGACAGGTCACCAGACTATCACAGGGCTGACACATAGAGACAGACAACCATTCACTCTCACATTCACACCTACAGACAATTTAGAGTCACTGATTAACCTGCATGTCTTTGGACTGTGGGAAGAAGCTGGAGTACCCTGAGAAAACCCCGGGTTCGAACCACATCTTGCTGTGAGGCAACAATGCTACTGCACCACCATGCTGCCGAGTAAACAGTGATGAACAGTAAATTCATCAAATTTATATCATTCCCCATAGTATGAATTCAGTGGCCCCTTGAGTTAGATAAAAAGCACAGCTAGCTGGGCAGCTAACAAGCTAACTGTAACCCAAACTAGCTGTAAAGCTACACTGCATGGATCAGTTGGTTGGTTGCTTTGTAGCTGATAAAGTAATACAGTAGTATCATGGAGCCAATAGTCCAAATACATTATTTTGAATATGATTATAATTTATTTTCCAGTATCCTATCAACATGCAGGTCCAGGTGCTTGCTTGTGGCTACGGAGGACGCTGAGTGCATTTCACTTAACAGCCTCAGAGAGAGGTGTTAATAACAAGGATTTTCCAAAAGTTACATACAGACCCTTTAAAGGTAAATCTCAACCCTTAAAATTTCCCCTGCAGAACTTCCCTTGAAGACAAAATCAATATCCACTTTGAGTAATGTTGGCTTGGAGAAAAATGCACATCATTAGAACCAAAGAGATTTTAAAGTATTCCTGCTAGATTTAATGGATGTTTCACAGGTTAATAGTCTTGTGCATGGTACAAGAGTGGAGTCCGTTTGATGGCAGTTATACCCCGTTAAAGGGACAGTTCCCCCCAAATCAAAATTCATATTTTTCCTCTTACCTGTCATGCTATCGATCTTGAATATTGGAGATATCGGCCGTAGAGTTGTCTGCCTTCTCTCCAGTGTAATGGAACTAGATGGCACTCAGCTTGTGGTGGTCAAAGCGCCAAAAAAATACATTTGAAAAATTCAACAGCAATGTCTCTTTCCAGAAATCATGATCTGGTAACTCAGGATTATCCACAGACCTTGTTGTGAGCTGAGTTTGATGTAGGAACTATTTTCTTTCTACCAACGTACACCCGCAGAGGGAAGCATCTGCTAGCTCACCAAGCACCATTGAGCTAGCTAACATTACAGCTAAGCTGAGGAGGCCGCCATTAACGTTCACATCTCACATATTTTTATCTTTTCTTTGTGTCCACAGTTTAAAGCCGGACTACTACATCTTCTTCCATCTTCCTGATGTGGCAGAGGTGAGAATAGACCATCATGTTGGAGCCTCCAGAGCTGAGTCAGGAGATCTAGGAGTGGCTGTCCACCCTCCGCCTCTCCCAGTATACCTTGTGTTTCTGGCAAGGAGGCTATCAAATTCTGGAAGACTGCAAGGACCTCAGCGATGATCGTCTCCTGGAGCTTAAAGTGCTTCCAACAGGCCATCGTAGGCGCATCCTCCGGAGTTTGGAGGCACTGGGGGTGAAGCAGCCGAGTGGCGAAGAGGAAGATGAAGAAGAGGAGGGAGGTGTAGGGAAGGAGAGGCGCCAAAGGAAGCCGGTGCCACACCCGAGACATATCTTCCTAAAGGATAAAAAGAGGGGGACTTCATGTCAGCACCATCAGCCAAAGGAGAGACACGAGTATGAGGTGGAGGGGAGTCACACTTTGCCTCCAGGAGCTGGACTGGGAACAGAAATTGAGGAGAGCAGATACATTCGCCCGCCTCTACCGGCCCCACGCGATCCCCAGAACATCCAGACATCCACAGCTGTACGTATCTTCATCCCTCCCTCAGTGTCCTGCAGAAGCACCAGCAGCAGCAGTAGCGAGTCCCTCTCCATATCCGAGATGCCCTCAGACTGGGAGATTTCCTCTGAGAATCCTTCGCTGTCGAGTACAGACTCCTTCCCCTGTATGGCTGACCCAACGCCCGCTGAAGACAATACTGTTTTTCAGGGTGAAATGGTGGAAAACTCCATCTATGAGTCACAGCCGGCTTTTAAGATTCCTGCAGGTCCACGGCTCACTCGCTCCTACCGGCTGAGGCACCGGCCTGTTCCTGAAATCCCCAATCAGGCCATACTGCCACCTCAGGACAGGTAAGAGTTAAACTCAAAGGAAATGTTGGAAAATATGCTGAAAGCTACAGTTGGTAACCGTTATAAAAATAACTTTTTGTCATATTTGCTGAAAATGTACATCCAGACAGTGGATGTCAATGGTAAACTGTTGTTCAGTTAACCAACAAATTTTTATTTGAGCTTTGATAAAACATGTCGGTCTACAGGGTAATTTTGCTGCACTGCCCACCAACTGGGTCCGACGGGAGCTAGTTAGCAGTGCTGCTTATTTGGCGATTAACACTAGGAACACCATCCCGTCCAAACAGTGTTGCTGTGGAAACGTTCTACCCACCCTCCAGTCACCCCCTAGGCCGCTCCGCTGATTAAGCGGCTCAATTTAAAGCTGCAACCCCTTTTTATATAGTTGTCTATGCTATCTCTGTTAGCTCTCTTAGCTTGCTAGCAGTGTTGACATGGCTTGTAGTGCTAACATTAAAACTTCTGAAGGGGGGATTGAAGGGGAAATGATGCCGCTAACACACTGGGGCGACATACAGGGACATCCAAGCGTGGCTACCGTGTTTCTGCAGCAAGCTAGCAGTAAGCTAGCAGTAATCATGAATGGGCGTTGCTGCTAGCTAGCTCACACCAGGCACATGTGGTGCACAGTGCAGAGGAGCGTTAGCTAACGTTAGCTAACTAATGGAGACCAGATGGTGGGCAGTGGGCACTGTGCTTCCATACGTTAATTTTTCTAGCCGGATGTCTATCAGCAAGGCCAACAGAAAATATAATAAAAGACAAACCATTTAAAACACAGAAAAAGAAAACGTCAGCTCTATGCAGACCCTACGCTGGAGTCTACGCACATGGCCTACGCTGTTGTGAGCACTTGTGCAGTGGTGTGTCTGCTGCAGTTACACCTCCAAAACACTAGTCAGCGGAGGGGTTTCTGTGAAGTGCTGTAAAGTTTAGTTGATTCATAACACACATTAAACACACATTAAACATGGCTTAATAGAGACAATTTCAAACTCAAGTACACAGATCAGCTTCATTATAACTCGCAGCATTCACAGACAAACACTTGTCTTTATCTGGACACATTTTCCCCACAAATACAACATGCTAACGTTATTAGCACAAGCCTATGGCATTTTACATTGTATAAATTAGCCTAGCAGCTAGCGGACTTTTCCTCTACTCATATGAAGCCAGGGACAACAGCAACATTTAACAAAGGTAATGTTACAAAATTCAGCTCCATTACAGCTCACAAGGTTCACTGACAAAACAACTGTCTCATACTAAACATGCTTTCCAAACAAATATAACATACTAACGTTATTAGCACAAGCCTATGGTATTTTACCATGTATAAATTAGCCTAATGACGAGCGGAGATTTCCTCTCCTTTTGACGTTTTTAGTAGCAAACCAACTAACATTAGCCAGCAAAGTAGCTTTCCATTTGTGTCACAACTGGCACTGCCTACATTACACCGCAACAGGAAATAGGACACGAGCAGTGACTGACATGATTTACAGTTGTGTGAACTCCTTGGGCCTGATTAGTGTTAAGGAGGCAGAGGAAAATGATTTTTCACAGACTATTTGTCTAATGTAATACTGTGGGAATGTAGTGACAATTTCAGCAACTATGACAAAAAGTTATTTTTATATAAGTTACAGCTTTTTTCACAAGCGGCTGCTCTGCCGTTCAGACATGAGAGTGGTATCAATCTTCTCACTTAACTCTCAGCAAGAAGGCAAAGAAGTGTATTTTCCCAAACTATTCCTTTGAGCATAAAGTTTGACTTTGTGAAAGTTTATGAGCAGTTGAGAACTAATCAAACAAGTTAGAAGAGCACAGTGAAAAGCACCTGGAGAAATAAATTTGCACGCTGCCACGGCATGAATGAATATGAAAACAAGACCTTCCCCTCTTTGCATTCAGATTTACGCTGATGGAGAACCCGAGGCCTCTCATTCCATATTCATTTCTGCATTCTGCGTACATTAACACCCCTCATGCTATGCATTGTTCAACTCATGAGCTGTGAAACTTAACTTTCAGAGTTCCACATTTCCTTTCTGAAGGCCTTTACGTATAAATGGTGTTACCTATTTTCCCCACGTGCTGCATTGGTGGTTCTAATCCGCTGATTTCTCTTCCTCCTCAGGAGCGCACCACCAGTGCAAACAACCAGCCCCGAACACCTAACCGGCTCCGAAGGTCCCATCGGTGCAAACAGCATACAGAAAGGTACACCGTCTTTCAGCTGCATGCGCTTCATCTCTGCCATGAATATTTCATTCGGCAGCAGAGTCAGCGGTGCTGTTGTTTGCCCGGATGAAAGAGGGAAGAGGAGATGAGGGTAGTGCGTGGGTGGGGTGCGGGTGTTCGGCAGCTGTGTCGTGGGAAACGGCATCGCCCCCGTTTCAAGTGCGCATCTCACAGGGAATATGCTCCCTCACATCTTGTCCCTCAGCGAGACCCTGGTGTGTATTCCTGTCGCCCAGCTCTCCAAAGTTTTTAAGAAGTTGTTTAACTTTGCTAACAACACACAGGCTTGTAGTACAGCCAGTACAAATATGTTCTGAATTTCTCCCGTTCCCTCACTGTATTTATTGGGCTTAGTCGACCCTCGCGTCTCATCTGACGAGATGCTACGTGAGCTGTTTCCTGTGCTGAAGTAGATGTGTTCTCCCAGGATTACATGACGCTTTGCTGTGACAGCATCTGCATGAATTCGTGTTTAACACCTGTAAACATGTCACTCTTCCCGGGACCGTATCTGACCACATTGTGACATTTTCTCTCGCAGCATATCAACAGTTTTCCGCCCGTCTTCTGCTCTTAATCTCTCCTCACGCTCCTCTTTTGGCTTCCCCTTCCTTCCTTGTTCCGTGTACCTTTACCGCAGCAGTCTCTTGGTAGGCTTTGTTTTTCCAACTTTTTTCTCTGTATGGAACAAGACAGGGAGTGAGACTTGAGAGAGCGGCAAGACAGTGAAGTGGGTTGGGAGGAAGGAAGAGGAGATGGATGCAAAACAGGCTGAGAGACGGAGGAAGAGAGGGAGCCGAGACGGTCCCCGAGCAGGGAGACGGGGAGCTCGACTAGCAAACTAAATCTCCCTTCACAGCGAGGTCTAGCAAGGCGTTATTTGACATATCATTTTACCCGAGCATATTTGAAGAGTTTATTCCAAGATGGGATCCAAAACGTGTAAAAAATGTGCAGCGGCGTCTCACGGAATGATTGCTGCATTCAATCAAAACTTGCTGTTGGAGGCGGACGGAATTTTAATTAACACCCCAACATCTCTGCTTAAAAATAAGTTTCTTCACGAGACAAATCTCATTGAGAAAACACTTCTCTGTCAAGTGCTTCTTCAGCAGCAACACAGCAGGCCGGGCAAATCATTCAGTGATTTAAACACAGAGAAATAATTGCAGTTTTGTGTGTGCTTTTTAAGGCCTTTGGAGTACACACACTGCTCAGTTAAACGCACTTCCCTTTTTAAGCACTATAAATGTTTAGGGTTGTTGTTTCTGTGTCACTGCTGTGCTGTTGACAGATGTCACCTTGGTGCACACACACATCACACTGGCAGCTGGACTTCACTTTTAGTGCAAAGTCACACCTCAGAGCAAACAGAAGACAGTTTGTACTGATGCTGAAGAGATAAGTGAACTGACAGAGCATGAATTGGGAGACACTGCAGATGACCAGGGGAAAACTTTTAAGTAATGTATCACCATTAAACTTCCCCTTTTGATGTCTTACATTAAGACAATTATTTTTTGTGTCACAAATTTTCTGTAATTTTATGTTTAAATATTCAAATGAGGCATTTTATTTAATTCAATCTGTGCTTTTTGCATTCATTTCGTCTTTACACTGGATAAAGCCAGGCTCAAGATTCTTGTTCCGTATTTTTTGACATATTAGAGTCAAACGTTTTTACAGGGGTAATTTTGGATATCTCTTGTTATCTCTCTATAAATGCGAAAATACTGCCCACGGGTTCTGGTCAATATGTCCTTAAAATCATATCACAATATTTTTCGGCTATATCACGATACACTATATATATCTTGATATATTTAAATTACACAGACAGAAAAATAGGAACACAATGATTTTTCATTAATAATCATCAATAATGTGGTTATAACGACTAAAGCCTAGTTCACGTTACACGATTTTCACCGCGATTTTTGACAGAGGATCTTGAGAGGCACCTTGGGTCGGAGGTGAGTCGGCAGATAGTCTGCCACGACGAGTCCTCATGTGTGAACAAGCCTACGAGCAAGTCGCCTCCTCGTCTGTGACTGGGACTGGATATCTGGCATGCTAGAAAACTGGAGACATGACTGACAAAGGGCATCAGCCAATGAGAGGCGGGATATGTCCCACGTCAGCACGCAGGAGGACGGAAGAAATGTGAGGAGGACAAGCTGCAGGGTTGCCAGATCCGCTTATTAGCTGCGACTTTGGGCCTGAACTATCACTTTAAAACAAGCATTAAAACAAATAGAAAAGTCTGGTTGATAAATTTACATCACTTTACTGTAGTGTGTCCTTTAAAATTAGGGGAAAAAATCTAAAACTAAGACCTCTCATATCTCGATAACGATATGATATCTTCATATTACCCAGCCCTACTGTCAACTGCCATAAAAAAAGTCAGAGTTCGACATTTTTTGACCCTGATGAAGACCTGTGAGATCTTTTTAATTGATATTGCCCTGTAAAATAAAAGCATTTTAATTTCTGCACAAACCCTACAGTGTGCCTTGGATTGTTTTTGAAGGAGACTTTATATTTTTGTATTTTTTGATTGAGAGTATACTTCCCTCATGCGATGGATTAAACGCAGTGCACCTGAAGTATCCAAAGAGCACCTGCATGTGACTACAACTAAGACCCAGCAGCGCTTCTACTCCTCTGTCTTCATTTTTTATAAAACAGGCCTGGAATAATATATGAACAAACCCCTCTGTAAAAACCGTCAGAATTTAGATAGGAATAAGAGTGGAAAGTCTGGCTGAAGTAAATGGTAATGAAGTAGAGATTTCTGGCTCAAGAGTATGAGAATTGAACTCGTATAATTTCACCCATCTGTTAGAAATATTTTTTGGACTTTCTTGGACTTCAAGTTTCCTGAACTTTTATGTTTAGACATGCAAATAAGGTGTTAATTTAATTTGTGCTTTCGGCAAACATTTACAGAACAGAAATCTGAACTCATAAACGCCTAAATGTGTATTTTTTTCCACTTGCCTGAAAGAAGACATGTTATGGGAACAAAAGAGAGTAAAATCTCAAAATGAGCAGTGCATGAAAAAATTGTTTCTACCTGTAATGTCTTGACTTAAATACGAACTGTGCTCATTTTTTAAAATTCAAACATTATTCCTATGGTCTGAGATAGTCATTAAATATCAGCAAACATGAACAGCTCTCTTCCAAATCCAAAAACTAGAGAACTGAAACATACATTTGTGATGTCCCAGAGTATAAAGTCTGGTGTTGCTCCGTAGACAATGAATGGTCAAAGATGTTCTAGATAACACTGAGAGCAGTCAGGGGAATGTTCTGAGGATATGGGTACATTTTCTGTTTCAGAACTGAGGTCACTACAACACAATAAAGCTCATTTAGGTATAAAAAAGATGACAAACATTCTGTCGGTCCACAAAATCAGGCTCTCATTCATTGTCTGTGGAGCAACTCCAGACTTAACCTATGACATTACAAGTTCTAGACTTACTCTGGTTACTGGCTTTAAAAGAGAGTAGTGGATGTTCACAAATATTGATCAAACTTTACTAGACCATTTTAATAACATACTGGAATTCTTGATTTAGGTGGCACTCCCCTTAAAGTTTTTATTATTGTCGTTATTGTGGTGTTAAATGTTTACAACTACGCCCAGCCTGCATATATGACAGAACTAGAAAGCTTCCTGTAAATGTTCAAACATTACTTTAAAGAAAAATTGACAGTTGATTCGATAAACTGTTGGCAGAGTCAACAGTACCTTGTTCGGCTGTACCTTGTCAGCCTACCTCTTTCATTCCTTCCTTCTTGAAAAGGTTGGAGTTGTATTACTTCCACGTATGAACACTCTTGACGAAGTTCGAAACATTAGTGTAACTAATAAATTGTGAAGCTGAGCAAGGGCAGCGCGCAAGATATTCTGTTCGAAGACTCAAGGGATACTCTCCAACGCACCTGAATTTGAGACACTTGGATGTGCGAATATATCTCTTTAAACTTATTTCCACATATCCAAAAACCTACTGATATCCAAGTCTTTAATAATGTTTAAAAGTAGTTGTGTTTCTTTTTCCGATCAGAAACTGTTGGCTAGTTAGTTTGTGTACAGTGAATTCCAAATGTGTTGCATGCACGCCCCAAAGAATGCTCCTAAAACCTGAATAATATCGGCATATCCCAGATTTCTTCATCGTAATATACGACATCAGGAATGTGTATACATTCAAAATGTTACCTAATTCAGAATTTTGTCATATTTGGAATAATAGTGGAATATTAGTGTATCTAAAGATAGTCAGTGCCGTCACTGAGAAGAACTAAACAGCTATCAAAGAAAAGGAAAATCACTCTTGACTTTCTTGAAGTCTTCACCACTAAATTCAGGGAGCCAGTGACTGAAATAATAAACTGTTTGGCAACTAATCTGAATTCAGATGGTGACAGTTGTGCCTCCTCCATGCTCAGTGTGGGAGTGATAATAACAAATTGCCCTGTAACTCCCCGACTTAAAAGAACGGAGGCTTCATTCATAACAAAAATCAATCTCCTCCTCACCAACTCTGAACCGATGGCGGCATCTAGGTCTCTCCCCAGATGGGAACTTTCGTGAGAGAGAGAGTCTGGTCAGGAGCAGATAAAGAAGCAACGAGAGAAACAAAAGGCAGAGGCTGAAGTCGGAGCCAGCGAGGGAAGAATAGAGGGAATCAGACAGGAATTGAGTACAGTAGCGTCCGGCGAGCCCTCGGGAGAGAATCGTGAGTGGCCTGAAGGTCGGCTGATAGATGATGACTGATGGTTGCTGTCTGACCACCAAGCCTGTCTGCAGAGAGGGCGGCTGTGCTGGAGTGGATTCTATCATCAAGTAAACTGACCCCGTCATAGAGCTCACCAAGCCCAGTACATGGCCCTCTGTAATGGCCTGCGTTGTTTGGTAGTGTGTGTCAGCACGGCTTTAAAGCTCCAGTGTGTCGGATGCAGGGGGATATATTGATAGAAATGGAATATATTATAATAAGTATGTTTTCTTTAGTGTGCCTGAAAATAAGAATCTTTGTGTTTTCGTTACCTTAGAATAAGACATTTATATCTGCATAGATAGCAGGTCTACGTCTATAGACGATGAGACCCTGTGTCCTCATTTGAGGACATTGCATTGTGGGTTTACTTGACCTAATACTTTATTCTACTCAACAAAGACCTGTTGTCCTCCTTTGTGGACACTTTTTTGTGCCATCTAGTGGTAGTAAGACCACAATAAAACTAATCCATGTAGAAACAAGATAGATGCCAAGTCAGTCTGCAGCCGATCCCAACACAAAAGTGGGCAAGGTCCAAAACCTGATCCCATTTTATGGTTGAAACTTGTTTATTTATGATTAATAATGTTTGTAGTCTGATATGGCAACAAATTTGACCAATTTTAGCAACAGTAACAAGCTAAGACGCTGTTAATTAGTAAGTACGCATTTGAGGACATTAAAACTCTATTATCGTCTTGTTTGAGGACATTAGGACTTTATTAGCATTGACAACAATTCGTTCTATATACTTACTAATCCCAAATAATTAGGAGAAATTAAAAATGCATACAAAACAAGAGTTCAGGTCTCAGGAGGATAGAGATCGCCATGTTACATGGCCGTGTTTCTACAGTAGCCTAGAATGGACAAATACTGGCTCTAGACAGGACCATTGCTGTAGTTAGCAGCCTATCTGCACTGGTGATAGCAAAAAATGGAGGATTATGTTTTCAGGTTGTTCGTCTCATTCTCGTGAACTCAATATCTCAAGAACACCTTGAGGGAATTTCTCCAATTCGGCTCAAATGTCCACTTGGAATCAGCACTGAAATCATTAGATTTTGGTGGTCATAGATCACAGGTCAAGGTTACTGTGACCTCGTCTGTCTCACTCTTGTGAATGCTATATCACAAGAACACCTTGAGGGAATTTCTTCAAATTTGGCACAAACATCATCTTTGAGTTGAGGATATCCCAATTAGAATTTCGTCAAAGGTCAAGGTCACTGTGACCGTGTGTCTCTCTTCTTCTTGTGAATGCAAAATCTCAAGAAAGCCTTCAGGAGTTTCCTCAAATATGGCACAGACATCAATGTGGCATCATGAATAAACTGATCAGAATTTGGTGGTCAAAGTCAAGGTCACTGTGACCTCACAAGACATGATTTTTGTGATATGTCAAGACTTAATAAGCTAATAATGGCAAACTTTCACACATAATAATGAAGTGATGACACTTAATATAAAAAAAGTCAAGGGTCATTTCTCAGGAACAGAAAGGGGAGACATTTGGTCAGATTGGTGACGGTAAACTTGGGTGTCCATCTTGAAACGGCGCTGATTGTGCTTCTGTGCTGCCGTGGACAAGATTTGTGTAAAGCATTCATGTTTTACAGACATGGATGTAAACTGAAAGTGTAACTTGACTGGTAAAAACCTCCTGAAAGTCTGGATCTTAGCAGGTGCTGGGCCAGTGGGTTGTCTGCGACATGTTAAACAGTGTCAGAGGAAACCATCAGAGAAAAGTGAGCACATGTTAAGAGGAAGATTATTATTATATTATTATTATTATTATTAATACCAGACAGGAAATTCATTTATTTACTCTGCAGAGGAGGAGACCTCTGTGAAATTCAGCTAATGCTAAATACCTCCTGAACAATGAACACTGAAGGAATTCTACCTGGGAGATGTTTTTGCAATCTGCAATTCAAACCACTAGATCAATTTCCCCCAAATCTTTCACACTGGACATTTAAAAATAGCACGTTCACATGTGCATCTGCATGTGTGTATTTGGCTGTCCATCCTTTTTATGTCTCTGTTTGTCTCAAGGCATCTTCATATGTCCGAGGGTGTTTCGATCTCTGTCTGCCTGCATATCTGCTTCTCCGCCAGTGTCTATGTGTGTCTAGCCCCGTGGCGGCGTCTTTTGGCCCTCACAATCCTCAGGAGAGGGTGGTGTCATTTTTCACAGTGACAGGCAGCGGCCCACGCAGGGTGGCCCCGGGTCTCCAGACTAATAGTGTCTGGCCAGAGTCTCTCTCCGTCTCCGCTTCCACCGACCACCGACCACGGTCCCTGCAGGAGCCGAGGCGGAGAAATGGCCTTGGCAGTGTGTTGGAGACAGACTGAGGAGGATCATACTCCCAGTTGGGCAAGGAAAAGAGCGAGAGATAGGCATGCTGAAACAAAATTTAATTGGTTTACTGCTTACATGGATCAAGGGTTGGCACATTTATTCAGATCAATGAGTTGGTTTTAATCAAAGGGCACTATAGCATCTGAGTGATTTAAATTTAACTGGAACAATCCTGTTAAGCTCCTCACTTTCATGCACCATCTTTAGGCCTTCACACTGCAAGTCTCAGTGCCACCACAAAACCGCCATTGTGTTGTCTCTGTGTCCTTTTTAGCTCCACTTCAAAGAACCTTGACGCCTATTGCTCCCTATGGAGAAATGTTCCTGTACAACAACCCTGAAAACGCTCCGGTAAGACAACGTACACTCCCCTTAGCGGACAGTGAGTAGCAGCTCTGCAAAGAGGAACAGACATTTCTCAGATCTTCAACACTATCAGGCGTGTTTCCAACCGCAGTCCGCATGCCAAACTTCCTTCTCACTGTTAATGTTGTCACCATGGACACATAGCAGAGTGGGAAATGTGCTTGTTTCAGTTTGCCCCCTGAGGTTAATGGAAATGTCACCTAGCCACTAAAGTTAACACAGCTTAGTGCACCTGCACGATAACAGTGTCTGACTGAAAGATGGACACTTTCTTTTCATCTGATGCTAATCTCTTCTGTTCTCTGTAGGAGCGAGGCGCTAAAGAAGGGGTACAGAAGGGTTTTAAGGACAGGATAAAACCCAGGAAACAGAGGTATGTTATGCTGATGTAATGCTGCTGTCCCACACTCTGGATGTTTAAATAGAAATTCAGAAATTCTCAGAAAGAGAACTGCTGACCACAGATAATGTTTTTGTGGTTACTGGTCTCGGTGTAGCACACTGGAAACACTGAGGGAGAGTTTATCATGTTGTGCAGCTGCATGTTAAGGTGTTTAAACATAAAAACAACCACATGTTAATCTGGTGGCATTAAAAGATGAGGCCACAAAATAGATAAAATCACATTATTCATTTCTTGCATACATGACAAAAGGATGTCCTAAAGAAATACTTCACCCCACAAAATGGTCATCTGTTGCGATACGATAGCCGCCTCAGAAAATATCACGGTTTCACTGTATCACAGTATGCTGAAGCTTAAGCTAACGTCAGCTATTGACAGCCAACTTAAGCTAACGTCAGCTATTGTCAGCCAACTTAAGCTAACATCAGCTAATGACAGCTAACGCCAGTCACTCACCAAGCAATCTGGAAATCCATCGGTAAAAAAAACAAACAAAACAAAACAAAAAAATCTTTTTTTTTCTTCCTTTACCTCTGGAGGCACAGCCTTTTTCGACTAACGGAAGTGCAGGGGCCTTGGCGATCGCTCACGCCCTTCACTTCCGGCGGTGCCCCCAGGGAATCGCTGTGTTGTTTACAAATACTTGGGGTAAAAAAACAGCAGAGTTTAGCTATATATCACATTTTTCACGTCACTGTATCACCGTGTAGACTAATCTTATGTTTGTTAAGTCTATAAACACAATGATTGAACAAACGTTACTATTTCTGTGTGCACGTTTTGTAAATAATAACAACAATAACATCGTAGATTAGCTGGGCTAACCGTTAGCTGTTAACGTTAGCCATTAGCGGTGTCTGTAATAACCATAGACTGTATAAAAATAAGGTAATAACTCAATAAACGGTCCATGAATAAAATATTTTTTCCAGCGGATATCTTAGTTACAACATGATTGAGCTAGCAAAGCAGTTTTGTGTTGCTATGTGTGGTATTTATTCAGTTATGGGAAATCACGATGTCTAGAAAGCATCAGTGGCTGCAGCTGACAGGGACAGTTAGCAAAGCTAACATCAGGATGTCATCTGTTAAAAGCCTCCTGTTGTCGGATACGACATGAAACTACTCCAGTTAGCTCAATCATGTTGTAACTAAGACATCCGCTGGAAAAAATATTTTTTTCACGTTGACGAGATGGCATTTTGGGTGGAGCGGTCGCTATGAACGCGGAGCTTGCTGTTTCTGTAGGTACACATTTCCTGGGGACACCTGCATGTCTCGGCCACGCCCCCTCCATTGTGATTGGCTAAAGCGCAGCATCGTTCAAACTCAAAGCCACGCCCTCCCCCCTCTCTAGTCGTCTTTCACACAGGGCTGCTGACAGATTCTACAATGTAAATTGCAGAATCTGTCTTGAGAGATTACTCACCAAGACACCTCCCCAGTTCACCACTGGTTCTCCTCATTTTCCATGTGATGACCATCCTTTCTCCTGACTCTTGCCTCCTCCTAGTCTCTTGGGCACCTAGCAGATTCGTAAGTATACGGTTGTGATCCGTCATACGTGTATGAACATTATTGACCTCTTCTGTATCAAAATAAGCATCCATATGTGCCGTTGTTTTATTTGGCCGCTTTCCTTCTTTGTTCGTCACATCCAGTTGGGTTTGTCTCAATGCGGAAGTACAAATTCTTCACATAAATGACTCTAGTGTGTATTTCGGTATATATTTTTTAAAATCTAGTTCATCTATTTCACTGGTGGCTTTTAAAGTTTTAAAGGAATGACAATAGTAGGGTTTTTGTTGGTTGAACAAACGTTTAATTACTACAATAAAACAGGAAACCATTTTGTTCATGGAATTATCTGTGAAATGTCTCCCCTTTGTAAATAACTAAACTGATGGGGAGATTCAAGGTCCAGTTCCTTTTTTTCAGTATTGTAGATAAGCAAATATACACGGTATGATAACTGTCAACTTTTATATCACGGTATACCTTGAAACCGGCGTATCGCTGCAACCCTACTTCACAGGTTTTCTCGCATGCCTCCACAGTGAACGAAGAATCCAAAAACAGAGAAAATTCTAATTGAATTGTTTTACAACAGCAAAATTACATGAAAACATCTGACACAACTTGTGCAGGTCTCATTTATTATTTTACTCCTTCCCAAACAGACAGCCCTTTCTGACAAGAAGCTGAACTAAAAGTGAAACTTCTCTATTTTCTCTTCAAAGCCAGACTCCATTGACAAAAACAGTAATTTTATCTCACTGAACACAGGAGCTGCTGGTCTACTGCTGCTTCGATTAGTTAGTTAATTTGTGTTATAGTGTGACTTTGGTGAATTTCAGCTAACCCTCTAAAACCCCAAATTCACACAATAACACAAACAGACTGACTGATCGAGGTATCTGTAAGCTAGCAGCTCCTGTGTTCAGCAAAGTAAAATTGTTGGTTTTGTCAATGGAGTCTGGCTTTGAAGTTTCACGTGTTGGAAAGGGTTGTCTGTTTGGGAAGTACTGAGCATACGACTGGATAAATGAGACTTGGATTATACTGCACGAGTTGTTTGAGAGTTTGTAAACTGATGTTAACGTGGACCCGTTTTTGGATTCCTCGTTCACCGTGGAGTTTTCTTCACAAATTCAGCATAACACTAGGTGAGTACCTGATATAGATACGATCATTTCGGGGGTTTAGAGTGTCTTTAAGAAATGTTCCATATCTTTGTTTGATGTGTACCCAAACAGAAATATTTTAAAAAGTTGTGGTTTCACTGTGAACTGTTATTACCGTCCAGCAAGAAATAGTTATAGCATGAATCTCATGAAACCAAAACGTGTCCTTTTTACATTTTTGTTTATGTATAGACAAAATAAATCATATGTAATATAGTGAGCTTAAAAGGTTCTGGTAGGCAATTGAATTTTGGGCAGAGTAAGGCTAGTGGCTTCCCTTGCTCCCGGGCTTTATGCTAAGCTAATCACCTCGGGGCTCTGACTACACACTTAACGGACAGACATGACAGTGGTAACAACAATTTTCAGTATTTCCCAAAATGTCAAACTGGTTCTTTAATGCCATCCCTGCTCCCACAGGAAAAAGGCACCTAAACGGAAAAAATCCAAAGAAAAAGTGTCTCCCCCTGCCCCAACCATCCCAGACCCCTACACAGAAGAATACTCCACAGTTGATGAGTGTGCCAGCATTTTGCTGCGAGCCAGTTTGGACCAAAGTTCCCCAGTGACCGCTGAGGCTTTTGCTGTGGGACCAGCTGCCTCTGGCCCTAAGGATGGATCTTTAATCATGGTGGAGTGTGACCTCTACTCTGATCCGGCAGACGCTCAGGGGGGTGGGACCAGAGATGTACTGCCTGATATTTCTCCATACGCGTGCTTCTATGGACCCTCCAAACATCAGGTGCTCAAAGCGAGCTGGCTGGACAAGCTGTCACCTCAAGGGTAGGTTACAGTCCTGCTGAGGATAAATGTGATTAGAGAGTCAGGTCAGATTATCAGACATAAAGATCTAAATGAAATACTCAGCAATGCTTCTTTTACTGCAGCCCCACATTGAATATTTATTGTCACCAGGCTAAAGCGTTTAGTTGTGTGTGTGCTGTCTCATAAACTACTGCACCAATCACCCTAATATTTTGTGCACACATGTATGACTGTAAGCCAAGGACCTCTCGTGGTTGTGGTGATTCATGGTTGTTCAAAAGCATGTTTCATTGACTGTTTCATACTGTCATTGACTTGAGTCTTCACCCCTGTTAACCAGACGGTAGGGTCCAGCAAACAACAAGCCTTGCTGTCTGTTGCAGGCCACATCTGGCCTTTGTCTTGGCTAAAGAAACAGACATTCGTTTAAAAGTTTGGTTTTATTTCAAACTGTACCAGCTTTGTTATGATCCACAAAAGTTAGGCACATCTTGACTGTGGCCTGGTTGGGTGCTTGACACAAGTTAGGGCTGCCCCCTAATAGTTGACCAAATGTTAGTCGACCAGAAAAGTCATGAGTCGGCAAGATTTCATTGGTCACTTCGTCACAGGGAAAAATAAAAACCAAACAAATGTTAATCTCTATTAGGAGCTGCGCCTTGTCAAAATAAATCAAAACCTATATGACTGGACCACGTGGGGATTTAATTTGAAAGGACAGACACAGGAGGTGTCCTCGCTCAGCAGTCAGACAGGAGTCAGGTTAATTTCCAGGGCTGGTACCTGCGGTTATTCCCCAGGCTAGTTAATAACATGTCGGGCAGGAAATCCAAAGTGTGGGATCATTTTGAGAAGGTGAAGGACGAACCCAAGGTGATATGTAAACTCATCTTCATTGGTCGACTACAAACATGACGCATCATCTGAAACATGGAAGTAGCTACATGCCCATTAGCCCACAGCGTCATTAACAGGCGGCTCGCTCAGTGTGTGACGTGCACTTGGAGATAAAATATAGGCCTATATTAATGAAGGTTCATTAGTACGGTTTTGTATTTCTCTGTAATGTAGCACAGTGTTAACAATGTTACTGATACTATTCTTTCTCACACCTTCAACTCAAACCACCAAAATATATAATTTAATAATTAAATTAACATCGTAAACATGCGGGCGACTAGTCGACTAATGGACCTAAATGACAACTATTGGTCGACTAGGAAAATTGTTAGTTTGGGCAGCCCTATAAAAAATACATTCATCCTCATAATGCAGGAAAACTCGATCTGCTCTGTGCAATGCGCTGTGACTCCGTTAAAAATAGACAAGGCTCGTACTTAAAGGCTTCTGGGACCCGTATGAAACGCGCTGCAGCAATAATGCTGGATTTACAAGATGTGTTTAGAGTAGAGGGTTCAGCTCAGGCAACCGTCTGGCAGAGATCTGCACTTTACTGAGTGCACTTAACTAGTTTCTTATTAAAGGTCAGTGTTCCAGTGTGTAGGATTTAGTGGTATCAGCGATGAGTTTGCAGAACTGAGACTTCTTCTGTGTGCTTTCAACTTTCATAGTCCCATCTAGAGCCAGCTTTTGGTTTGTCCGTGCTGGGCTACTGTAGAACAACTTAGTGGACTCTGTGGAAGAGGAGCCACAGTGTATGTAGATATAAGCAGCTCATTCTTAGGTAATAAAAACACAACGACTCAGTTTTCGGGTGATTATACACTAATGAAAACATAGTTATGATTGTTATATACCATTTCTGATTGCCCTAAATCGTACACGCTGGCCCTGTAAGGTCGATTAAGATTCTCACACAGTCACACATCCTTTCACCACAGCTACTCTAAACGTACCTCATACCACTTCCCGTCAAGTGCCAACAAAAGTCACCACCGCAGCCAGCCAACCACCTGCTTCCTGTTTCTTCACAGATACCATTTCATTCTGCACTGTGCATCTTTGATGACCATCTAAAAGTGATAAATGATATTAGATACAGGAGCCTGAAGCAGATCCATCCATAATACATCGCACCATCGAAAGGGAAGGAAGGCAAGATGGGAGATAACCTTGTAGCATTGAGATGCACAGTATGTCAGCTCTCACTTAGTTTGGCTTTTTCTGGCAGCTCCACGTTTCTCTCGAGTCTCTCGGTGCCACATGCGTCACCGTTGCTCAAAACTGGAGCTATCAATCATTTCTTCTTTTTATATTCTCCTTCACCACCTGATTTGCATAGGTTTGGCAAACTGCCCTTGGGCTGTTGAATATTCAAATTGAAAGTGCCCATTTGTTTTGATTATGCTAATTGACAGCTGTTGATACAACTCTTGACATTAATGAATCAGTGGCACTCTTGATGAAATATGAGTACCTGTTCAGAGCAGATTTAGTTACTGGCTTACTGTCTTGACTGTTTGGGATTTTTCATTCCACTCCAAACTGTTTTAGTTTGGCTGAGTGTGCCAGATGGATTGAGTTTGCACCTTCTCTTTGCAGGAACTGTGTTTTTCAGCGGAGGTGGGTGAGATTCGACGGTGAGAGTCTGGCCTACTACAACAATGACAAGGTAAGTGCGAGAAAAACGCACCCCCTCCCCTCCTCCCGCTTCCTGCCGATACACCCACACCCTCCACATGCACACCGGCCAAGTCACTCCTCCGTTACAGAAATCCATACCGCGAGCAGCCGAGCCAAGTTCTAAGTGTTCCCTTCTCTTTGTCCTCCTCCTCCTTCTCATTGTCATCATCATCATCATTAGCTTGGCAGGGTAAAGAATGGGGGCAAGGACGGAGCGACATTACGCCATGCGTGACAGGCCAGCACTCTCTGTGCCCGCCCAGCCATACAGTAAAGTACATTGATGTTGGCACCTGACCAGCGCCCACAGAAAGAAAGAAGGAGAGGGAAGACTGCTCCCGTTTTGCCTCCCTCAGCATTTCTCCCCCCCTCTACCTCTCTTCATTCTCCTTCTGCGTGACAGTCGAGTTTGAAATTTCGCTTAGCATTGCCTGTCTCATCATCAGAGGGAGAGGAGGGATGGAGGGGGAGGAAGAGGAAGGGTTGAGGTGGGGTGAGAGTAGCTGAAGAAGTAGAAACTGTGAAGGAGGCAAGATGGCAGTTCAACCTCCATTAACCACCTTAACTTGTTAAATCAGGAAACTTTTTGCAGTGCACTGGTTCTGGCTGCAACTGTGAACGAAGGGTCGTTTAATGTGACCACGTGTGTCATGTGGACATGTGATCTTCATCTTAAACTTTTAAATGACCATACCTGTGACTTTGAATGTTCCAACACCTTTGCTATAAACCATTACCCTTTACATCACAGGTGTATGTTTTGCAAACTACTATATGTTCGCCATAGGACACATGCTGCGTCTGCTATGGCCTGCAAAACAAGAGGTCAGTGCTGGGTGCCAACTTTGAAGGGTGCAGAGGCAGGTTGTGCCTGGCGGTACAAAGAAAGCATAACCAGTGCTGTTTCATAACCTTCTTACCAGAATTCTCAAGTTAAGACGCAAACTTTTACAATTAAAAGAGCCATTATTAGCCAAAAAAAAGAAAAGAAATCTGCCTGGAGCCACAAAATATATTTAAATAAACGTAACAGCCTATTAAATCTAAATCAACCCCTCATCATTATGAATAGATATCCTACAAGTTGGCTACTCTGCAGTGAGCCATATTTCTTACTATGTAATGACGAGAACTCTGTCTGTTCCACGTTTTTCTCCTCACTGACTTGGTCAATCCATGTGAAATTTGGCACAGTGGTAGAGGGTCATGGGAGGATGCGAATGAAGCAATATTACATCAATTGGCCAAAGGGGGGCGCTATAGCAACCGATTGAAATTGCAAACTTTGAATGGGCATATCTCATGCCCCATATGCCGTAGAGACATGAAACTTTTCACAGAGATGCCTCTCCTCATGAGGAACAAATTTGCCTCAAGAACCCATAACTTCCGGTTATATAGATTTTCCGCCATTTTGAATTTTTTGAAAAACACTTCAAATCGATCTCTTCCTAGGAAGTTTGACCGATCTGCATGAAACTGGGTGAACATAATCTAGGGACCAATATCTAAAGTTCCCTCTTGGCAAAAGTTGGAAAACTTACTAAAACTGAGCTTCTATAAGGCAATGAATATTGCGGAGGGCGTGGCGCATCACATAAAGGTGTATAACATCTCAAGGGTTTCACCCATCACCACGCAACTTTGTAGGCATATGACCACACATTATCTGAGGGGACCCCTCCATTATTGACCTGATCAAACAAAATTGGGGCGCTAGAGAGCTAATTTATTATCTAGGCCTAACTGCTTTATCGATTTTTACTAAACTTGGTAGATATGTAGAACAGGACGCCTCAAGTTGACTGGAGAAATTTAACTCTAATTGGCAACTGGGTGGCGCTATAACAACAGAAAAATGCTTAAAAATGGCTAAAATGCGACCGATCGCTGTGGCTCCCCCTGTAGCCCAATGTTTGTTTGTTTTTTTTCTAATTTGTGGTATGACTAAGTCATGGTATGGTATGCTGTACATAATCACGGAAACTGTCAGTGTGTCATTCTGTCAGTCATTCTACCAGTGCGCCCCACTTTTAAGTCAATACAACATATAAACACTTGAACTATCTGCCTTTCAACGTGCTACCTCAACTACTAACGTACAGTTTTAGCCCACTAACTATTCCACTATTGGCAATGGTACTACTGTACTTTCAATAATGCAATCATACTATCAAATTCACAAAAACTCTGTCTGAATACATTGCTCTTCTTAATGTGTTCAGTTGACTATTTAATCTGCGATTTCCTATGACCTGTATCCCAAACAGACACCATGTGAAACTGTACGTGGGCAACTGTCCACTCAATGGGTATGGACTAGTTTATGATTATTTAGTACTTTAACTTTGCAGCGTTGGTGGTGAAAGCAAATGCATCTGTCCACAAATCATTTCTTTTTTGGATTTGGAATCCATAACTAGCCTTGCCAGAGAGACCCCAGGCGAACCACCGCTACGGAAGTTTAGCAAAATTTAGAGGAAAAGGCACCGGGTCGTCGACGAATGATACACATTTTAGTTAATGAGTCATTAAAACATTTTTTAATTTGATGTATAGGCTATACGTTTTAACAGTTGTAGAATGCAGTAATCACTTCAGGCCTACAACAAAGACAAATGAAAATCTAAATGTTAAAAAATAACTGTTATTTAACTCCATATAGTTTTATTTCAAAGCCACAGGGAGCCGCATGTGGCTCCGGAGCCACAGGTTGTCTAGATCTTCTCCCAAGTGTTGTTTTTAAGTGTATCATAAAATACTGTCCTTGTCTGGGCAGCCTTTTTTAAAAATAAACTTTATTTGGTTTTTCCATTCAGAGCAAAATGTCCAGAATTACAGGTGACACCTTCCATTGTAAACCCACCTCCCATCCCTTCCAAAGTCAACATACATACGTACAACTAAAATGATCAAACAGTAGACAAAATAATTACATTTAAGTAAAATATACACGCTAAAAAAACAAACAAAACTACAACCGTGTGCAAGATGAGTGTTTTATATACTGAGTCAGAGTATGAAATTTATGCTCTTCAATGTCTTCAGTGCTTTCTTTCAGTCAGTACCAATCTAGATAAAGAAAACTTTATTTCCATTTGCAATTTGATATTTGGCGGTATGGCTCTGTTCTGGGACCTCTCTGCCCTTCCATGCGCCTACATGGAAGGGCAGAGAGTGCAAACCTCTCTGCCCTTCCATGCGCCTACATGGAAAGCCAAAGGCAGAGAGAGCACACCTCTCTGCCCTTCCATGAGCCTAGATGGAAAGCCAAAGGCAGAGAGAGAGCACACCTCCCTGCCCTTCCATGCACCTACATGGAAAGCCTAAGGCAGGGAGAGCAGCAGCAAAGACCCCCGGGAACAGAACAGAGCAGCATCAGTGACAAACAGAAATGACATTGATGAGTCAGACACAACATGAAAAGGAGGAGCTGGGGTGGAGGCTGGTTGCAAAGCAGCTTGCAGAGGAAGCAGCAACAGAGGCAGACCAGAGCAGTTTAATAGGGCGCCCTGAATGAGATTCGCCAATTGGTTGCATAAAAAGGAATCATGTGATCTCTGACTAATCAGCTGATTGGGCTGCTCGAGACCAGCAGATGTAGCTGGGATGTGAGCTGAGTGATGCTCAGTTTTTGGTAGATAAAGGGCACCAGGTTGGGAAAAGAATGAATTCCAATAAAGGACAAAGTTTCAATATCTGACTTTTTCTAACTTCAGAGAGGTCATCATCTCTCTGACCTATCGTATAAATCAAAGAAGCAGCTCTGGGTCACCCTGCACTAAAATGATCAGCTTCTCTTCTGTATTTACCGTAGACTGATATTTACAGATGAAAGAAAGGAAAGATATGGGTGGATAACGGTGTTTCTAAAGTTCAACTTTGTTTATCTCAGGGCCCACTTGGGAGCACTTGTGCACAGTGACGGCGTTGCTCTCACCTGCCGGACCCTTTGAAACCTGAGCAAATTGGCTTGATTTCTTGTAAACGCATTGGAAGAAGGCAATGAGCAATTAAAGAAGGAATGGCCCAAAAAAACTGCAAAAGGAAATCTGTAAAACGAGAAAATTAAAAACAAGAAAATTAGTTAGTTTAAAAAAGTAAGTTAAAAACAAACAGGGAAATGACCTGGAAAGAGTGATTAAAAATTACAATAATTCTGTAACATAATACATAGTACCTCAAGTCTGCATTAAAGTTATTGTTGTGAGGTAATTAGAGCTGGGTAATGTTTAAACCTCTCACCAGTGGGTTCCCACCAACACTGATCACATCACTGCAGACAATGTTTTTTTTTGCCAGCATGTTGTTAATGATTTCCTCTTCATTATCTGTCTGGCAACTACGGTACTACAGAGGTTTCACCCTTAATTTACGTGTGGCAAAATATGTCAAAATGCTCAGTGCATCATTGTTAAATACAACATAGGCTTGCCGTAGTGGTCTGTGTTACCAGTGTTACACAATGTTAAAGGGATAGTGCACCCAAAAATGAAAATTCAGCCATTATCTACTCACCCATATGCCGAGGGAAGCTCAGGTGAAGTTTTAGAGTCCTCACAACACTTGCGGAGATCCAAGGGGAGAGGGGGTAGCAACACAACTCCACCTAATGGAGACTGACGGCACACCAGATTCAAACGTCCAAAAACACATAATTGAAACCACAAAATATCTCCATACTGCTCATCCGTAGTGATCCAACTGTCCTGAAGCCCCGACATACAGTGCACAGAGAAGCAGTCAGAGCTACAGGCTACAGTGAGGCTAAAAACAGAGTTCAAATGACGTTTTTCCAAACAACTTTTTATGTCGGGGCTTCAGGACACTTGGATCACTACGGATGAGCAGTATGGAGATATTTTGTGGTTTCAATGATGTGTTTTTGGACGTTTGAATCTGGGACGCCATCAGCCTCCATTAGGTGGAGTTGTGTTGCCACCCCCTCTCCCCTTGGATCTCCGCAAGTGTTGTGAGGACTCTAAAACT